AATAAAATGATTTTAAAAAATTAAAGGAGAATGCTAGAGTACAGAGAAGTTACTGTTTCATATAAGGTGATTGAGAAAAGTAAGTTGCATACTGCACAATGCCCAAACTAACCCTGATGGTTATATTTTGTGCCAACTTGTGTGCTCCTGAAAGAGGTTATGGGTAGAGTCCAACAAATCAATCAGGTCACAGCCAGATGACGCCTCTATGGGGATGCCACTTTTAACAAGAGGCTCTGTGGAAAACTGGCCTCTCCTGCCACTCACTTTCTTGCTTGACTGGATTCTGTGTCTGGCATCAGAACTGGAGGCCCATGTGACCTGCTGACTCTAAGAGCTATGGGTGCCCTACCGTGTTCCTGCTGACTTTGAATCCCTGTGACTCAGCCTGTGATCACCCAAAGTCCTGCTTCGACTTCCTGCTCCATTGGTCAACAGTTACTTGAGTGTACAGGGACCTCCAGCTAACATCTGACCCATAGACTTGCCCTGGAGTAGGCTGGGCTGTTTCCTTGATAAAAATTTCTTTCTTGATATAAAGTGTATATATATATATAGTCACTGGTTTTTGAGAGGTTGTAGAATTTAGCCAGGAATATGAAGTTGAGAAAGATTTTATTGAGGCAGGGAAAGAACTCCGGGAGGGAAGGGAGAGCAGAGAAATGGACAGGGGCAGGAGCCCCTGGATGGTTCCGAGACCCAACAAGTTAGGTCAGGAAATCGCAGCTTGTTGGTGAGGCGGTGGGCGATATATAGGGCTGGAGCTAAGGAAGTATACGTTGACAGAAGGAAGGGGGATTTTTTTATCGCTTGCAACTGCAGGGCCTTGAGGTCAGGATGCGACCCGTGGGAAGCCACCTCGTTGTTTGCAAACCTGCTCTCTGGCGTGCTGGGCAAGGGGCTATAGGAAGTGGCCTGGAGAGACAAATTGCTTCCTGGGGTGCCGGGGAAGGGGCTACACAAACCCGGCCTGGAGAGAGAAGCTCTTTGGGATGTTGGGGCAGGAGTTGCATAGTTCAATAGGTCATCCATCTTCCTGAGAGGCTGGGAATGGGGGCTGTGAGGTTTCATCTTCCTGAGGAGCCGGAAGGAGGTGGGCTGCCCAGTCTGGACCTGGCCCAGACAGTTTTCTCTAGCAAACCTAACCTAACACACGAGCCTTTCTCCACACCATGCACTCGAGCCACAGCTGTTGGCTAAAAAGGAAGAGGCGCTCTTTCCTTCACATAAAAACACTGCCTGCCTTTTTAAGTGAGTTAGCCCTTTTCTAATTTGCACCAAGAGTAATAGGCAGAGACCTGAAGGAAGTGAGAAGGGGCTATGAAGATGGGAGGGAACTCCAAGTAGAAGGAGTAGTAACAACAAAGGTGCTGAGATGATTCAAGGCACAGCAAAGAGGTTCAGTGTGGATGAAGGCGAGTGGGTCAAGGGAGCTGAAGAGGAGACCAGCGCTGTAACTATGGGTCTATCGCAAACGGCCTTTTGACTCTGAAAAAGACAGGAAGTCTGCAGCTTTAAGCAAAGAAAGGACTTCTGATTCACGTGTTCATAAGATCAATGTAAGCAAACTCCTTGAAGGCAGAGATGATTCTCCCCTTGTTTATTCACTGCTTTCCCCTCCAGGGCCTACACAGTGCCTGACACAGATGTAGCACTTTAAAAGTAGTTGAATACATTGGATTTATTTTAAAATAATTCCTCTGGCTGCTGTGCTGAGAATAGAACCTGAGAGGTGGCCCACTTATAAGCCTACTGTAGCAACAGATGTAGAAGATAATAGTGAGTTAGACAGGGTTATAGTGGAGTGGGAAATAAAGATATTTCCAGACAAGGATAAATGAGAGGAATTGACGAAAGCAAGACCAAATTTACAAGTACCAAGGAACGTATCACCTAAGTCCACAGAGAAGAAGCACACCCAGGATGTGTGATCAAAGGATTGTAAATAATATAACCCAAACCGAATGAACGAGATAGAATCAGGGCTTAATTGTGAACACCCAGCTTTCAGAAGGCTGTGGAGGGTAGTGGAAGCCCCAATCCATTTGCAGTGTCCCCACATGGATTAGTCACCGGTGAATCCCCTCTGGCCACAGTTGCAAAGGGTTGTGAATCGCCTTGTTACCATAAGGAGAGCATTGCAAAGGTGATGATGGCAGGTGTTTGTTGTTGCTAGGGGCCATCAAGTCAGCTCCAACCCCAGACTTTATATACAACTGTCCCAGGCCTCCTGCACCATCCTCACAATTGTTCCTTTAGTTGAATCCATTGTGTCAATCCATCTCCTTAAAGGCCTTAGTCTTTGTTGCCATCCTCTACTTTACCAAGCATGATGTCCTGCTTCAGGGATCGGTCTCTCCTGACAATATGTCCAAAGCATGTAAGTCCAAGTCTGGCCATCCTTGCCCCCAAGAAGTACTCTAGCATTACTTCTTCTAAGACAGATTGGTTTTTCCTTTTAGCAGTCCATGGTACTTTCAGTATTCTTGTCAAGGAGCACAAATCCAATGCATCGATTCTTGTTTGGTCTTCCTTATTTAATGTCCAACTTTCACATGCATATGAAACAACTGAAAATACCACTGCTTGGGGTTAGAGATCGAGAGCAGGCCAGAGATCCGGAGCAGGCAGGAGACCCATGACCAGGCAGGAGATTTGGAGCAGGTCAAAGATACGAAGTAGAGCTCTCATCTTCTCTTGGCTGTGGCTACTGAGCTAAGTAAATTTCTGAGGACATCCTCAGCCGATGTCAGCAAGGTGGTCAAACTGCCCGCCCTTGCATCCCCTCCAACCCTAATCATCAGAATTACAGCCGTAAGCAGGCATCCTCAAATCATGTCCCGCGGGCCACATGTGGCCTGCTGAGGACATTTATACGGCCCACCGGATAATATTTTCTGCTTTCTCTTTGATTGTGATTTTTCTGTTTTGTCTTGTCTTTGTTGTTAGGGTTTTAAAAATATAATTTATTTTATTTTGTATAATTGTGTTTTATTTTGTATGATTTTCTGCATATGATATCCTGGGTAGGTAGATCTATAAAGACAGTAACTGGATGGGACATGGAGGGGATAATATGGGGAAAATAGGGAGATAACGAGTATGAGAAGAAAAATTGATCTGAAATTGATTGTGGTTATGATCACATAAATGTTTATAATATGACTGAACAATTAAATTGTATGATATGTGAAGTACATGCCAATAAGACAAATTTTAAATATACTAAACAGAGTCCTTTGATCAGAGCATCAACAACAGCAGGCATAAACCTGATATGAAAATGAGAGATCTCCACCCAGAAATCAACCCCCTTAAAGTAGTATTCAAAATAAAACATTCTCCCCAAACCCCAACACAATTAATTGCCAGCAAGTCAATTCTGATATACAGCGACCCTATAGGACAGAGTAGAGCCGACCCTGTGGGTTTCTGAGGTTTTAACCTTTAACAGGAGTAGAAAGCCTCATAATTCTCTGTTGGAGTGGCTAGGCAGCGCTTCTCAACCTGTGGGTCTCGACCCCTTTGGGGGTCGAAGACCCTTTCACAAAGATGGCCAGATTCATAACAGTAGCAAAATTACAGTTATGAAGTAGCAACGAAAATAATTTTATGACTGGGGGGGTCACCACAGCATGAGGAACTGTATTAGAGGGTTGCAGCATTAGGAAGGTTGAGAATCATTGGGCTAGTGGTTTCAAACTGCTGACCTTGCAGTTAGCAGCCCAACACATAACCACCACTTCAGTAATGTTCCTGTAGGCTAGCGGGTAGACAGGTGTTAACTTGCATGAAGATACAAATCGTATTTCTCAAGAGGGAGAAGAGACTGAAGGGCGTAGGCATTGTGGTGCTGGGGGTGGGTGTCAGGTGTGGGCAGGAATAGTGGTGGTGGACGTTGATAAGTAGTTTAAGTTGTTGAGTACAAATTCATGATCTGATCTGCTGCTAGTTTTTATTTTATTTATTCTTTTATTATTCAAACAAGTTTCAATTGTATTTATTTAGCTTTCTGACTGTGCTTTCAACACTTTCACAATGAGTTTCTGCTCCTCAATAAGGAAAGCACGCCTGATCCTGTCTCGGACACACTTAGCGCACATGGACCCACCATAAGCCCTGCTGACGTGATTTTTGGTTTTGGATAACCTCATGAGAACTTTGGGTCTCACAGCACAGACCCCTTGAAGTCGGCCTGGGCACACACCGCATGCAGAGTTGGGTGCTTTCCCAACCTTTTTTGTGTACAGGTAAACAATTCTGTTACCAGGGGTTCGGGACAGCCTCGTTTTGTCAGAGGCTGTATTGTAGGACAGCCTATGCCGGTAGGTCAGATGCTGAACCATTTTGAATGCCTCCACACAGCGTCTCCGGAAAAGGAGGAAGTAGTTTTTATTTATCTTGCTCTTTAAAGCCATGCTCCACAGAATTCAGCTTCAAGTGTGCTCAGCCGTGGTCTGCCCTCCCCTCTCATGCAGCTGGAGACAGCATTTAAATCCTTACTTTGCAGGTTTCCCTCCTTTACTGTAATAAAATCTCATGTAACTGCTTCCTGTTTGCATAATATCAGTGTTTAGGAAACATTTTTTGACAGCAGGAGACCTAGTATTGCAAAAGGTTTTACTTTTTTTGTTTTCTCAAAAACCCAAATTCCTCCTTTGGTTTTTGCTTTGAGCACATTATCTCAACTGGCTGAGGAGGAAAGAGGAGTGTAGGTGTTCAGGCAAGAGAAGGGAAATCAACTTTCAGGAAGGGGAAATACTATGCTTTTACACTGGAACATCTAGAGCATGCACGTGTTTCTATTCCTACAGTTTTTCTGTATGCCTCGCAAATAAATACCAATCTTGTATGAGAAAAAAAAAAAGATTTCAAATAATAGGTTATTTGAAATGTAAACGCCCACCTGATTCACAATAAAAAATGATTAAAAAAAAACTTCTTCATAATCATTTATTATTCCTATTAACATCTAATCAGGGGAAAAAAGAGGTTTTGATGCTGAAGGAAGATACAGTGGGCCTGGGACACAGACAGGACAGCCATAGCTAGAAGCAGAATGCTTTGCTGTTTTATTTGCCAAAAAATTCCTCATATCATAAAATTCAATAGTTCAATCACATTAAGAAGAGTTGTACAGCCAGCACAACTTTAAAACACTTTCTTCTTTCTTACAGTCTTTGTTATTAACTGCCCATTTCCTTCCAATCTCCCTTGCCATACTTCCAAGAAGTCATTAATCCAGTTTCTTTTTTTTTCCATTAACCCAGTTTAGATGCAACTATTACTGTAATAAAATCTCATGTAACCTCTTCATGTTGTTTGCATAATGTCAGTGTTTAGGAAACATTTTTGACAGCAGGAGGCCTAGTATTGCAAAAGGTCCTACTTTTTTTGTTTTGTCAGAAACCCAAATATATAGCCCTCAAATCTATACAGTGGTCTGGGCGGCTTACAGAAAAGAAGAAAGTGACACTGAAGTGGACTTGGAGTCTGTGACAGACAAGTTCCCTTCAAACAATAACATACACACACACCCACAAACAACCCAAGTGTAGACTCACTTAGCCTGGATTTCATAAACAGAGAACGAGAAACACGTTAAACAATAACAACGTTTTCCCTGGTCTGATTCCGTCCTGCGCTGCTGTATATAGCAACGGCAGTGGTTTACCTGTCTTCCGTTTCTCTCACCGAAGTGCGTGTTACCACCCCATGGATATGGCCATGAGCCCCTGAGGTCCCCAAACTATCTTTTCGGTTGTGAATGATCACTTTACGGTGGATAATGATGAAAACGAGCACATTATCTTTAAGAACGGTCACTGTAGGTGCTGGTGCAAAGGGTGAACTGCATATTGTTGAAGCAGAGGTAATGAAGTATGAAGGCAGCCCAATTAAATTAACACTGGCAGCTTTGGAAATGTCTGTACAGCCAACGGTCTCCCTTGGGGGCTCTGAAATAGCACCACCAGTGGTCTTATGGTTGAAGTGTGGCTCAGGGCCTGTGCACATTAGTGGACAGCATTTAGTAGCTGGAGGAAGATGCAGAGGCAGATGATGAAGAGAAGGATGTGAAACTTTTAAGTATATCAGGAAAGTGGTCTGCCCCACAAGCGGTGAAATAGTTAAGGTTTATTGTGCCAACCTGGCAGATAAACACATGTCGGATTAATTGAAGGGCAGATAGATAAACAGCTGATCTTTCTAGTTCTTGGGTCTCTTACTTTCTGATGGTCGGACCAGGATGCAGCTGCCTTAGCCAGTTCTTTGCTTCAGCTGGTAAAGCTCACTTCCTGCAAGACATCCCCGAAGAGAAGCCCTATGGA